ATTGTTTTTCTCATCATTTTCCCCTCCATTGCAATCTCCCCAAGTCGAGCTCAGAGGGCGGACCAGGGGGGAATCGATACCCCACCGTCACCCAATTGCCACCTGGTACATAACCCTAAAAAAGTTTACCTCGGTCCACCTTTTTTACCACCTAATTTCCTCATTTTTGTCCGTTTCGGGGCGCTCTGCCCCCAGACCCCCTAAACTCACTTTGTTCGAAAAAAAAAACTTCGCCCAGCCTAGCGGCTGGCTCTTCTTGCACAGACTTTTCACCCATACACTTTTCACCCACTCTTCACCCAGAATTTTTTCTTGCACATACATTCACCCATATACTTTTCACCCAGAGATTCTTCACCCAGAAACTCTTCTTGCACATACTCTTCACCCATATACTTTTTACCCAGAGACTCTTCACCCAGAAACTCTTCTTGCACATGCTTTTCACCCATATACTTTTTACCCACAGACTCTTCACCCAGAAACTCTTCTTGCAAATACTTTTCACCCATACACTTTTCACCCACTCTTCACCCAGAAACTCTTCTTGCACATACATGTCACCCATATACTTTTCACCCAGAGACCCTTCACCCAGAAACCCTTCTTGCACAGACTTTTCACCCAGAGACTCTTCACCCAGAAACTCTTCTTGCACATACTTTTCACCCATATACTTTTCACCTAGAGACTCTTCTTGCACATACTTTTCACCCATATACTTTTCACATCTTTTCACCCAGAGACTCTTCACCCAGAAACTCTTCTTGCACATACTTTTCACCAATATACTTTTCACCCAGAGACTCTTCACCCAGAAACTCTTCTTGCACATACTTTTCACCCATACACTTTTCACCCAGAGACTCTTCACCCAGAAACTCTTCTTGCACATACTTTTCACCCATATACTTTTCACCCAGAGACTCTTCACCCAGAAACTCTTCTTGCACATACATTTCACCCATATACTTTTCACCCAGAGACTCTTCTTGCACATACTTTTCACCCATATACTTTTCACGCAGAAACTCTTCACCCAGAAACTCTTCTTGCACATACTATTCACCCATACACTTTTCACCCAGAGACTCTTCACCCAGAAACCCTTCTTGCACAGACTTTTCACCCAGAGACTCTTCACCCAGAGACTCTTCACCCAGGCCAGAGACTCTTCACCCAGAAACTCTTCTTGCACATACTTTTCACCCATATACTTTTCACCCAGAGACTCTTCTTGCACATACTTTTCACCCATATACTTTTCACCCAGAAACTCTTCACCCAGAAACTTTTCTTGCACATACTTTTCACCAATATACTTTTCACCCAGAGACTCTTCACCTAGAAACTTTTCTTGCACATATTTTTCACCCATATACTTTCACCCAGAGACTCTTATTGCACCTACTTTTCACCCATATACTTTTCACCCAGAGACTCTTCACCCAGAAACTCTTCTTGCACATACTCTTCACCCATATACTTTTCACCCAGAGACTCTTCACCCAGAAACTCTTCTTGCACATACATTTCACCCATATACTTTTCACCCAGAGACTCTTCTTGCACATACTTTTCACCCATATACTTTTCACGCAGAAACTCTTCACCCAGAAACTCTTCTTCCACATACTTTTCACCCATATACTTTTCACCCAGAGACTCTTCACCTAGAAACTTTTCTCGCACATATTTTTCACCATATACTTTCACCCAGATACTCTTCTTGCACCTACGTTTCACCCATATACTTTTCACCCAGAGACTCTTCACCCAGAAACTCTTCTTGCTCATACTTTTCACCAATATACTTTTCACCCAGAGACTCTTCACCCAGAAACTCTTCTTGCACAGACTTTTCACCCAGAGACTGTTCACCCAGAAACTCTTCTTGCACATACTTTTCACCCATATACTTTTCACCTAAAGACTCTTCACCCAGAAACTCTTCTTGCACATATAATGGTCCCACATCGGAGCCTTAATTTTTCCATTGTGTTTCCCATCCCATCAATTTCTGTCATTTTACTCTTATTTTACTTGGCATCATTTTGGTCCCACATCAGAGCCGCAATTTTTCCATTGTTTTTCCATTGTTTTACTCCACTTCTTCATCATAGTCCCTCGATTTTTCCATTGCTTTTCCATCGCTAATGGTCTCACATCGAAGCCGCATTTTTTCCATTGCTTTTCCATAGTTTTACTCGACATCATTTTCCCCTCCATTCCAGTCTCCCCAGTGTTGTTTTCACAGTTTTTCCTCCAGTTTTACTCAGTCATCCCATAGTTTACGCTAATTACCAATTTATCCTTTCCATTTCATCAATTTTTCCAGTGTTTTGCCATGGTGTTACTCGATTTCTCCATCATTACCCTTATATTATCTCAGTGTGTCTAACGCTTACCCAAATGCACCTCCCACAATCCCTACCGTTGCACCGTATAAACGGTTTTGCTCGTTTCTTCCATGGTTTTATTTCCGTGCTTCTACTCCATAGTGGTCACACATCGAAACCGCAATTTTGCCATTGCTTTTCCATTGTTTCACGCGTGCTTTACGCGATAATGGTCCCACATCGGAGCCTCAATTTTTCCATTGTTTTTCCACCCCATCAATTTCCATCCTTTTACTTTTATTT